GGGGCTGTTGGAGAAGCCAGTGGGGCTGGACCGGCTTCAGATTGGTTGGAGTGCTTTGGCTTGGCAGTCTCGGGGAGTTGGGTGGGCGCGGCCATCGATCGGAGACGTGCAAGGACTGCTGCCCAGCACACGGATGCTCAAGAGGGGATATTCACATGTCTTTAATCGGGCAAGCAGGCAGGCGCTGGGGGACGTGTGTTCAGCCGACTATGAGCAGCAGTGGCAGTCGTATCGCCGGAGCCTCTTGTGCAGTCATGGAGTGGAGTAGTCGCGGGCTGATTGATGGGCACGAGGCAGGGCGGTGGGCACGGTCATCAAACAGCTCGGTGAGTCTCCGGGTCTGGTGCGTGATGGCGCGGCGAGTACGGTGCAGTGTTTGATCCTGTGTTCGCCCTGGTTTCGTCGTTGGTTAGCAAGGTGAAGGAAAGCACGGATGGCAGTGAGCATGGAGCATGGGAGTCCACGCAGTCTTATGAGGGGAGAGGGCCCTTCCGAGATTGGCAGTCCTTTCGTTCGGGCGGACGGGTTCTTCTCTGCTTCGTGCAGCATGCTCTGCTTCGTGCAGCATCCGGCTTAGTTCATCGTTCATCGAATGCAGCAGAAAAGGCCTCGATTCCTTTGAAGATCATCGACGGCTTGGGCACATGATGTCCTGAGGGACTTGAGCTTTTGGGCAGGGAGTCGAAGGCGGTGGTGGCATCCCGAAGAATCTCGTGGGGTTGCGCTCTCTGGGGTTCTGGGACGTTTGGCGATCGGCTTTTCTGGACGGCTCGCCTGACTGTCTCTGAAGAGAGGCGTATCAATGCCATGGGGAAGGTAGAGGGCTTGAGGCTTATTTCGTGTATGCACCGATGAAGGTGTTCCAGGTCCGGCTGGCTTCGAGGCAGTCGAACTGCACCTCGCTCGGGGCCAAGAGACCAAGCTCGGGGCCAAGAGACCAAGGATGGCAAGCCTCTGGGGGATCTCGACCTCCTGGACCTCTTGGTCCGGGCCTTCGGTGACATGGGGCAGGGCGCTCCGAAGGGCGTGTTTGAACGTTTTGAGTGGCCTTGGATAGTCGTCGAGAGGGCATTGGCCGCTCGGAAGCAGCAGGAAAAGTCTGTGGCATCTTGTTTAGAAGAGGGGCGTGAAGTGGACGACAGCCTCCTCTAGGGCGTCGAGGCACTGGTGGCAGCATCGACAGCAGCAGTTCGTTGGGGCTTGGGTTCGTTTGTCTCCAGGCCGTTTCTGATACCGTCGAGTAGGTTCTTGTCTTGCAAGGGATGATGGCGGACGATTCTTTGCTTGATCTCCTATAGCATCGGTGATAGGCGGCCCTGTGGCGTCCCATGGTGCTCCTCCTGTGCAAAGGCCCTTTCGCGATAGTTGAGGTCAACTTTGCGAGCGGTGTTTTGACACGGTTGTGTTGGATCTGTGGGCGGGATGTGTGTTGGCGATCCTTGCACATATGGGTTATGAATGGGGGGATTGGCGGCAGGATCTCGGGGCAGAAATGTGCCTGGGTGCGGGGGGGATTGTGGAGGGGGAACGGGTCTTCTGATGGGCTGAGAGGATTCGGTTGTCTGTCGTAGGCTTTGTAGGTTGCCGGATGTGATTGTGGGAGACTGTTGATTGTGGCGACATCGGGGGATCTTTTGGCGTGGCTGTGGCAGACACAGGGGCTCTGAGATGCCGACTGATTGGGTAAGGAGAGGGCTGTGAGGTGGGATGGATGGCACTGACTGTGGGTGGTGGAAGTGCTGGATGCCGGAGCCCGAAAGGATTCTCGGTGTATCGGGGGCTCTGAGAAGGAAGCAGAGTTTCTGTCTGTTTGTCTTAAAGGGGATGTGTCATATTACAGGAGTGTGGGCAGGTGAAGAAGGGTGGCAAGGATAGGGAGTGTGGGATTGTTGTTGGAGGTGTTGGGCGGATGTGGGTGTCTGTGGGCTGGAATATATATGATGTACTTCTGATGTGTCTTGATTTTGGGGGGTTTTAGGGAAGAATGGGGTCTACTTGCTTGCTTACCTACTTACTTACCTACTTATTTATTTATCTATTTATCTATCTATCTATCTATCAGGGAGTCTCTAGATGTATCGAGGATGGCTCTAGATGTATCGAGGACATACATTAATGGGGGCGGGAGGTTTAGGAGGGGCTGAAGATGGGGGATGGTTTCGGGGGAAGATGTGGAATGGATCAAGGAGATGTGTCTTGATTTGAGCTCTTCGGAATCTGGCTCGATTTGAGTCTTCGGATCTGGGGATTGGGGGCTCTGGAGTATGAAAAGTTTGTAGAGGAATGGTGATGAATTGAGGAATCGGATGGATGTGTGTACTATTACAGGCATGACGGCTCGGGGGAGGTTACGAGTTAGTCGATCAAGCAGATGGTGTTGGGTTCAAGGGGGCGGAATGTATATGGCGACAAGGTTGGGGTGTATCCAAAGGGAGATGTGTGAAGGAGCTGTTTCGGGGCTCTGGGAGGAGGGAGAGGATGGCGGAACACGGACGCAGATGGGTAAGAGAGCAAGGGAGGTGGGGCTTGAAGAAGGGGTTCTTCTCCTGTGGAGGACCCTGGATCTCGGGGGAGTTGGAGGTCGGAAGCTCGGATCTGAAGGTCAGTCTCTTTCTGAGAACTCGGAGCAGAGGAGTTTGATGAGATGGGGGTGTGGAGGAAGTTCTGAGAGGAGATAGAGACGGGGTGGTTTTTATGGATGTGTGAGTTCTCTGGGGGGTTGTCTTGTGGGGTTCCTGAGAATGGAAGGAGGAGAATGGCGGGAGTGTTGGAGGGAGACGTTGGAGGGAGGCATGGATGTGGAGTTGTGGGACCTTCTGTCTGATTGGACAAGGAGCGGAACAAGGATGGCGGTGGGGGGACGGTATGAGGTCATAGGATATGGACAAGAGATGGGTGTTCTTCGGATTAGGATGGGGGTTTGTGGATTGTGTGTTGTAAGGTTTGAACTGTGAAGGAGGATGGATTTGAGATGGTGTGCCTGAATGGTTTGAACAGCTCGGATCTCGTGGGGGTCTCCGTCTTCAGGGCAGGGCATGGATGATCTGGGGGGTGATGAATAAAACGAATGGGATTATGGTTGTGCTCTTGTTTTCTACTGGGATGGTTTGGGTTATGTGGGGGATTTTGTGGATGTGAGTGTGTGGGGCTCTCTGTGTTGGGGGAGTTGGGTGGGGAGGGCGATGTGGTGGGTGGTTGGGGCAGGGATGGTGTTGGGATGAGGGGGTTGAGAGGTGTTTATTGATTTTGGGGGGGGGGTGGATGTGGAGACTCTCTTAGGTTGTGGAGTAAGGCGAAGTAACCATTTAGGATGGCGGAGGTAGGATGGCGGAGGGCAGATGGTGAATGGGTAGGAGCGGCGGAGATGAGGAGAGGGATGGGGACTCTGTCTGGGGCAGTAGGGAGCTCTTTTCGGATGGGCTGTGCTTCTCCCCTCGCGATTGTGGCAGGATGAATACAGTATGATTGGTTTGCAATAACAATACTTGGATTCTTCGATGGAATGATAAGTACTAAACTTACTAGAGGGCATGGGATGGATTGGGATGGATTGGGATGTCGATAAGGGCGTTGATACGGGTGTCTGTTCGGGCGGTTTGTTGCGGAGAAGGTGTTGCGGAGAAGGTGTTGCGGAGAAGGTGTTGTGGAGAAGGTGTTGCGGAGAAGGTGTTGTGGAGAAGGTGTTGTGGAGAAGGTGTTGCGGAGAAGGTGGGATGAAGAGAGAGGGAGGACGATAGAAAAGATGAGTGAATGATCACGCTTTGATTCATTGATGGGGAGTGTAGTGATTGAAAGGATTGAGATGGCGGGGAATGGAAGAAGCAGGGGATTTCGGGAGTAGGATAGTGTGGTGTGTTTGGATGGTGTTGGTGTGTGATTGTGTGTGTGTGGCGGAGATTAGTGGATGGTTATTGGAAGCAGGATTTATGATTCTGGGGAGCAGCAGTGATGTTGTGACGGTGAGGTTGTGTTAGGATGGGAGATGGAGTTGTGGGGGTTGTTGTGGGATAGGGAGCTGTGTGTTGTGTGTGAGCAGCGTGGGGTTGTGGGAGTGGTTGGGTCTCGGCTTCTGTTTCTTTGTTTCTCTTTGTGTGTGTGTTGTTCTCTCTCTGTTTGGATGGAAGGGATTTTTCGGTTTGCAGTTGTCTTGAGTGTGTGTGGGGGGGGGTTGTGAAGGGAGTTGTGTGGGGAGGTTTATTTACGATAGGGGGATTTTGAAGTGTGTGTTGCTCTGCTGTGTGTTTGTCTGGGATTTGGGCGTAGTGTGTTGTTTGAAGGTCGGGTATTCAGTCAGGGGCTCGCTGTGTGTGGTGTGTGGTGTGTGGTGTGTTCTGGATTGTCAGGAGGGGGGAGAGATGGTTGGCTGGAGGGTGTATTGGGGACTGTTAGGGGCTCGTTTGGGGGTAGTTTGTGATTGGGATGGAGTGGGGACTTAGAGTGTGGGCTGTGTGGGATGGGACGCAAGGATGAGTGGAGGGTGTGGAGGGGGATAGGGAGCTGTGTTGTTTGTTTGTTTGTTTGTTTGGAGTGTGTTTTTGTTGTTGTGAGAGTTCTGGCTTGTTGTTTGTTTTGTGTGTGTGATTGGTGTTGTGTGAGATTTAGGGGCTTGTTTGATTGATTGATTGATTGATTGGTGTTAGGGGTGTTTATTGGTGTGTTCGGATGGGGGGAGAATGGTTTGGAGGGTGTGTGTGTGTGGGGAGGGGCTGTTGGGTCTGTTCTGTTTGGACTAGGGGCTGTTGGGTCTGTTCTGTTTGGACTAGGGGATGTTGTGTGTTTGAGTGTTGAGTGCTCGGGGGAATTGTGGTCAGTGGTGTTGGGGGAGAGGGAGGGGATAAAATGTGAGTGTGGGGGGCCTTGATTGTGTGTGTCTCTGCTGAGAGGAGTGAGTGTTGTGTGTGGGGTTGATGGATGATTGGCTGGTTTGGGGGGTGCCGTTTGCGGGGGGAGTGGTGTTGTGTGTTTTTTGATTGATGGTTAGTGATTGTGTGTGTGTGGGGCATCAGGTTGATTCTGCCTGACGTGGATGCTATTCTCTGGGGCTAAGCCATGCATGCTTGTGAACTCTTTGTGGGGGATTAGCGGACGGCTCAGTGATAGCACGATGATTTGTTTGCGGGATGAGCAGTAGCTGCGGGAAACTGCAGATAGTGGTCTGCCCCTGTGGGGGTTGGCAAGTAAGTTGTGGGCCTATCAGCTGGTAGTTAGGGTAATGGCCTAACTAGGCGCAGACGGGATACGGGGGATCAGGGTTTGGTTCCGGAGAGGGAGCCTGAGAGATGGCTACTACGTCCAAGGATGGCAGCAGGCGCGAAACTTGCCTAATCCTTTGGGGAGGCGGTTATGAGAAGTGATGTGTGTGCGAGTGCAAAGGGGTCGCATGTGATTGGAGGGCAAGTCGGGTGCCAGCAGCCGCGGTAATACCTGCTCCAATAGTGTCTATGGTGGATGCTGCAGTTAAAATGTCCGTAGTCTGTTGTGTATGTCTTTGTGTGTGATGTTTGTGGTTGTGTGTGGATGTAGTGATGTGTGTGGCAGAGGACGAGGGGCACTGGATAGTTGGGCGAGAGGTGAAATGCGAAGACCCTGACTGGACGAGCGGAAGCGAAGGCTGTGCTCTTGGACTAATGTTGCGATGAAGGACGAAGGCTAGAGGATCGAAATCGATTAGATACCGTTTTAGTTCTAGCAGTAAACGATGCCGACTGGACGGGACAGTGTGTGTTGTCCATGAGAAATCTTGAGTATGCGGGTTCTGGGGATAGTATGCTCGCAAGAGTGAAACTTGAAGAGATTGACGGAAGGACACCACAAGGAGTGGAGTGTGCGGCTTAATTTGACTCAACGCGGGGCAACTTACCGGCTCTGAAGGATGCCTGTGAGTGCATGGCATGAGGCATGCGGCGGTGGTGCATGGCCGTTTTAAATGGATGGCGTGAGCTTTGTCTTAAGTTGCGTAAGATGTGAGACCCTTTGACGGTGTTCTACGGAGCAAGGAGGGGATGGAAGAGAACAGGTCCGTTATGCCCTGAGATGAGGCGGGCTGCACGCGCACTACGATAGATGGCGCTTCTGCCTGCTGTGAGGGATGAAGCTGTGTAAGGGGCTTCTGAACGTGGAATTCCTAGTAATAGCGGCTGACGAAGCTGCTTTGAATGTGTCCCTGTCCTTTGTACACACCGCCCGTCGCTATCTAAGATGACGCACTGGACGAAGATCGGAAGGTCTGAGTCCTGAGTGTTAGATAAGATATAAGTCGTAACATGGCTGCTGTTGGAGAACCAGCAGCAGGATCAGTATGTTGTTGTGTTTTGATGGATGTTTGTTTGTTTGTGGTTTCTCTGTTCACGGGATTGATTGGCATTAGCGGCGATGAAGGACGTGCAGGAGGACGATATGCGTTGTTGTTGTGACGGTGTCTGAATTGTGTGCGGTGTGCACGGGGACCCCTTGGACTTAAGCATATCAGTAAAGGGAGGAGAAGAAACCAAATGGGATTGCCTGAGTAGCGGCGAGTGAAATGGCATGAGCCTGTGTGGTAACTGCGTTTGGCGGGTTGTGTTTGTGGCAGCAGCGGCGAGTGCGATTGAATTCGGATGCGGAGAGGGCGATGTGCCTGTAGGCGCGGCGGCTTTTTTTGTGAGTAGTGTTGCTTGGTAGTGCAGCGCGAATGCGGTGGTGGATGCACCGAAGGCTAAATATGGCTGATGACCGATAGCGGATAAGTAGAGTGATTGAAGTGTGAAAAGGAGGATGATGAGAAATGAAAGTGAATGGAGTGAATGGGGGATGTTCCCGCCCGTCTTGAAACACGGACCAAGGAGACGACGGCAGGATTGTTTTCCGAGAGGGGATGGATGCTGCGGTCGGACCCGAAAGATGGTGAGCTATGTGTGTGTTGATTGAAGGGATGCGAAAGTGTTCTGGAGGATCTAAGCCGTTCTGACGTGCAACTCGATGGCATGACATGTGCATAGGGGCGAAAGACCAAACGAACCATCTGGTAGCTGGTTCCCTCTGAAATGTCTCTCAGGACAGCGGCGACGGGGAGTGTAAGATGTTGTAAAGCACTAATGCGCTTGCGTTAAACTTTGAAGATGTCTTTTAAGTGTGTTGCCAGTGGGCATACTGTGGTAAGCATGGTGTGCGAGAAGGGATGAACCTTTAAGCGGGCTAAGGAGTCTTATGCAAGGTGAGTGAATCCGGCGGCCTGATTTTGACAGTTGGACGGTGGCCATGGAGGTTGGCATCCGCTAAGAAACGTGTTGCAACGTACCTACCGAATTGGGCGGCGGAGAAAATGGAAGGGATTGAATTGCATTCCGATGCCTGCGGGGGGAGTATCTGAGTAAGGGGGCGGTATCGTTCTGCTGAAGGTCCTGCGTGAGCGGGGGTGGAGGGGCGATATGTGCAGATCTTGGTAGCAGTAACAAGGAAATGATTTGCGCTGTGGACGAGGGTTCCCTGTGTGGCAGGGGTGAATCGACTGTGGATACGGAGGTGCATTGATAGTTGTGTGTATTGCGGCTGGGAGGCGACTTGGCTGTGACGGATGGGGGCGGCCCTGTCCAGGATAGCAGAACTGGATGCTGTCTGCTGCGGATTGTTATGATGCGAAGCAGCGATTGTGGGCGAGCCTGTTCCGATGAAAAAGAGGCTGCTTTGTCGTACCTAGACCGCATCTGGTGTCCACTGTTTGCCGCGGAAGTGTTTTGTGCAAGGGCCGTAAGGGAAGTCGGCAAGATTGATGTGTAACTTCGGGAGAAGGATTGGCTCTAGCGTGCTAGAACTGTTTGTTGTGGGGAATCTGACTGTTTACTAAAAACATAGCTTTGTGTGTGGACGCAAAGTGAATTCTGCCCAGTGCACTTTTAGTTACGGCCTGTGTGGGCTAAGCGAGTGTAAACGGCGGGAGTAACTATGACTCTCTTAAGGTAGCCAAATGCCTCGTCATGTAATTAGTGACGCGCATGAATGGAGCAACGAGATTCCCACTGTCCCTACGGCCTGTCTTGTGAACCTACAGCCAAGGGAACGGGCTTGGGCTGATCAGCGGGGAAAGAAGACCCTGTTGAGCTTGACTCTAGCATGTGTGAAGTGCTGGGTGTGGGCATGCAGCGAGGTGGGGATGAGTGCGATACCACTATGTCTTCCGCCCAGTGCTTTGTGGATGGATGTGGGGAGTTTGGCTGGGGCGGCACGACTGCTAAAGACTAACGCAGACGTCCTAAGGCGGGCTCAGCGGGGAAGGAAACCACGCGTGGAGCACAAGGGCACAAGCCTGCTTGAGACTGTTCCTATTGCGGGACTGTTTGGGGGAAACCCTGGCCTAGAGATCCCATGTCCTATTGTGCGTGGGACATGGGTGACAGAAAAGTTACCACAGGGATAACTGGCTTGTAGCAGCCGAGCGACCATAGCGACGCTGCTTTTTGATTCTTCGATGTCGGCTCTTCCTATCATCGCGAAGCAGAGATTGCGAAGTGTTGGATTGTTCACCCACCAACAGGGAACGTGAGCTGGGTTTAGACCGTCGTGAGACAGGTTAGTTTTACCCTACTGTGTGGACTGTGCAGCAGATCTTGATAGTACGAGAGGAACTCTTGATTGCGACCTCTGGTGGAGCGGCGTGCCTGCTGGCTGCTGCGGAGCTACGTCGGGAGTATAATGGCTGAAGGCCTCTAAGCCTGAAGACCGACTGCGCGGTGTGTGTGGCGGAAGACGACCGCTGTGTGTGCAAGCTGTGCGGATGGAGGAGGATTCCGACATTTTGAGGCTGTGCATTTGCGCGAGTGTGTGTGGAGAGCTCTTATTGCACTGTGTCTTCTGCCCCTTCTGCTTCCCTGCCCGTCTTCTTCTGCTCTGCTGTTCCTTCTCTGCTCGGCTCCTTCTGCTCTGCTGTTCCTTCTCTGCTCGGCTCCTTCTGCTCTGCTGCATTCAGCTTCTCTGCCCGTCTTCTTCTGCTCTGCTGTTCCTTCTCTGCTGCATTCGGCTTCTCTGCCCGTCTTCTTCTGCTCTGCTGTTCCTTCTCTGCTGCATTCGGCTTCTCTGCCCGTCTTCTTCTGCTCTGCTGTTCCTTCTCTGCTGCATTCGGCTTCTCTGCCCGTCTTCTTCTGCTTCTTCGGCTCCTTCTGCTCTGCTGTTCCTTCCCTGCCGCGCTCCGTCTCGACGAGGCCTGCGCCTTCTGCGCGGAGAGCTGAGCTGCCCGTTGCTTCCGGTCCGGGAGCCGTGCTGTGTGTGTCTTAAGTCTTTGCGTCTTCTACTTTTCCGATCTCCCCCGCCTTTTGTAGCGATGCCGCTTCTGTGTGCATGCATGTGCTCTTATGTGCTGTGCCCTGCCGCGACTCTCTCGACGAGCCGACGTCCTCCCCTCTTGCCTCGCCAGAGGCCTTTTCTTCTTCTCCCCTCGCCGGCATGCAGAACATCATCACGACGCCATCACTAGAGCATTCTCCCTCGACACGAGTGCTCGCTGTGCGTGCTCGAACCTCTCCTGAGCCCTGTCTGTGCCTGAGCCCTGCCTTGTCTGCGGACATCCGGGTCTTCTGTGTGTGGCATCCTTCTGTGTGAGCCTTCCTGTGTGATGTTGCTCCTTCTTGATTCTTGAGCTGCTGCTCCTTCTTGAGCGCTATTGCCTGTTCTGGGGCCTTCTGCGCCCCTGTGTGCTGAGCTGTCTTGGGCGTTGCTTGGAGTGTGTGTTGGCTTCCTGTGTGTGGCATCCTTCTGTGTGAGCCTTCGTGTGGCTGTGAGTGTGGTTATGTGTGGCTGTGAGTGTGTGGAGAGGAGTGTTTATTTATTTGTGTAGCCTTCCTGTGTGGCTGTGTGTGTCTTAAGTCTCTGCGTCTTCTACTTTTCCGATCTCCGCCGCCTTTTGTAGCGATGCTATTGATGATGTGATATTCTTTTTGTAGACCATTGGTCATGCTGTGCCGTGTGCAGCCTTCCTGCCTCGATGCCTGGGACTCTCTTCCTGCTCTGTGTGTGGCTCTCCCTGCTCTGTGTGTGGTTACCTTTGATTTCATCTCGCGCTCTGTCCTTCGTCCGAGCTACTTCCCCTTGCCAGAGGTCTTTTCTTCTTCTCCCTCTCCATTATGCAGAGCACCATGACTCTCGCCTCGACAGAGGATCATCACGACACCATGGCTCTCGAGAGATTATGCAGGGCATTCATCTCTGCTCTCCAGAGCTATCTCTGCTCTCCAGAGCTTTTTGCGGAGCATGTGCGTGTGTGAGCCTTCGTGAGGCTTCGTGAGGCTTCGTGTGGCATCCTTCTGTGTGAGCCTTCCTGTGTGGCTGTGTGCATGCCCTTGGAACGAGTGCTGGTTGTGCGTGCCTGAATCTCTGTGCCTTGTCTGCGGACATCCGGGTCTTCTGTGTGTGGCATCCTTCTGTGTGTGTGTCTGTTGCTGTTCCCTCTGGAGCCGTCTGTTTAAGAGACTGACCTGCGGCCCTGTCGAGCGACGAGAGCCATCGAGAGCCGTGCTGTCTTTCTACGGGAAGTCTGTCTCTTTATTTGTGCATCCTTTGGCACGTTATTTGTCGTCCTTTGCATGTATGTATATGTATGTATGTATGTGTACGTACATAATGCATACGTATGCCTGTCTTAGTCCTCCACGTTTCTGCGGATCCGATGCGATCGACTGTCTTGCGTGTGATGCCTGTCTTGCCTGCTCTTGTGCCGTGTCTCTGCGCCTTTCCGTGCTTCTCTGCGAGAGGACACGCCGTTGCTTTGTCTGCCGCCGAGACTGCCTCTGCTCCGTGTGTGTCTTTTGCCGCCTGTTTGGGCTCTCCTGCTCCCGAAGGCCACGCTCTTCGACTCTCCATCGATCGTCTATCTGCGAATCATCCACTCTCCGAGCGCGCCTTCGAACGACCGCCTCTGCACATTCTCGAGCCGACGACGCCTCTGTGTGTGCGAGTGGAGTCCCGTGGCGTCTGCTTCGAGCCTCTGTCCTGCCTGAGCACGCCATACAGACTTGCTGCCGACTATCTGTGCTCTCCTCCCATGCCTCTACCACTTCTGGCCTGCCGACGGAGCCCCTGGCGTTCTTGTGCGTCGACCTCCGGCCTGTGCGGGTGCCTGCCCTGCACTGCCTGTGCGAGTTGCCCTGCACTGCCTGTGCGAGTGCCTGATAGTCCTGACTGAGCACGAGCTGCCCTGGGTGTTGATGCGAAGTCGAATGTTGCGCCCTTTATCTGCATTGTCTTATGCCCTCTGCCTACTTCTGTAGCGCCTTTTCTGCTGGTCTCCTCTCTGCGGGCTGTTCGCTCTCTGCGGCTGCGGGCTGTTCGGCGCGTCCTGCCATTGCATCCTGCTGCAGCCTCGAGCCGTGCGGAGGCTCTCCTGCGCTCTGTCTCGACGAGCCCTCGGGCTTCCTTTGGCTCTCGCGGGCATTCCTTGTCTCTTGGGTCGACGGAGATCGCCGCGGGCATTCTTTCGGCTCTCCCCCCTTGCGTTGACAGAGGATCACCAGACACCATGACTCAGCAGAACGTTTCTGGATGGATGCAGCCTTCTTTTGCGGATGCATGTCCTTGGAACGAGTGCTGGGTGTGCGTGCCTGAATCTCTGTGCCGAGCTGTTGTGCCTGAGTCCTGCGTTGTCTGCGCCTCTGTGCGGAGAGCTGGGCGTTGGTTGGAGTGTGTGTGAGCCTTCGTGTGTGTGGCATCCTTCTGTGTGTGGCTTCGTGTGTGTATGTGAGGCTTCGTGTGGCATCCTTCTGTGTGTGGCTTCGTGTGTGTATGTGAGGCTTCGTGTGGCATCCTTCTGTGTGAGCCTTCGTGTGTGTATGTGAGTGTGGATGCCTGGGACTCTCTTCCTGCTCTGTGTGTGGTTACCTTTGATTTCATCTCGCGCTCTGCTCCTGCATCTGAGTGACTTCGTGTGCGAGTTACTTCTGCTCTTTCTCTCCTGGACATTGTGCTGTTCAGGGCATTCTCGCTCTCGCCTCTCGCGAGGATTATGCAGGAGACATGGCTCTCGAGAGATTATGAGGAGTTTTTGTTTGAGGTGAGCGCTTGTTGTGTTGTTTGTGTGTGTGCGTGTGTGTGGCTGTGTGTGTGTATGCGTGTGTGTGGAGAGGAGTGTTTATTTGTGTAGCCTTCGTGTGTGGCTGTGTGTGTGTATGCGTGTGGTTTTTGTTATGTGTTGCGCCTTTTCTGCTGGTCTCCTCTCTGCGACTGCGGAGGTGTTCTGTGCAGACCCGTCTGTGTCCAGCCAGCCGGTCGAGGATGCCTCTTTACCGCCTGGGACTCTCTCTCCTCTTTTTCGCTCTCGCCCTTGCGTTGCTTGACAGAGATTCTCGCGGAGTTACTTTCGCCTCTCGCGGAGTTACTTTCGCCTCTCGCGGACGTTCTTCTCGCTCTGCGCTCTCGGCTCTGCAGAGATCTTTCCGCTCTCTCTCTCCTGGACATTGTGCTGTTCAGGGCATTCTCGCCCTCGGCTCCAGAGATTCTTGTTCTGCGCTTTCCGGAAGATTGTGCAGGAGACATGGCTCTCGAGAGATTATGCAGGACATTCATCTCTGCTCTCCAGAGCTATCTCTGCTCTCCAGAGCTTTTTGCGGAGCATGTGCGTGTGTGTGGCATCCTTCTGTGTGAGGCTTCGTGTGGCTGTGTGAGGCTTCGTGTGGCATCCTTCTGTGTGATTGTGTGTGTATGCATGCATGCCCTTGGAACGAGTGCTGGTTGTGGGTGCATGAATCTCTGCATGTGAGCTACACGCTTCGTGTCTTGTTCTCTCTCTGCGGACATCCGGGTCTTCTGTGTGAGTCCTTGTGTGTGTGCGTGTGTGTGGAGAGGAGTGTTTATTTGTGTAGCCTTCGTGTGTGGCTGTGTGTGGCTGTGTGTGGCATCCTTCTGTGTGTGTTAAGTAAGTCTTTTAGCTTTCTGTCTGTGGGTCTCTGGCGCTTTTGCAGACGGCGTTGATGCTGTTGATGCGTGTTGCTGTGTGTGATGTGGCGTGGTTGTGACTTTCTCTCCTCTCTCCTCTCTCCTCTCGGCTCTTTCGTCGACAGAAGCTTTCGCGGATATTCTCTTCGCCCCTCGGCTTGGCAGAAAGTATTCTCGCGGACATTCTCTTCGCCCCTCGGCTTGACGGAGATTGTCGCGGACATTCTTTCTCCCCTCGGCTTGGCAGAAAGTATTCTCGCGGATATTCTCTTCGCCCCTCGGCTTGACAGAAAGTATTCTCGCGGACATTCTCTTCGCCCCTCGGCTTGGCAGAAAGTATTCTCGCGGACATTCTCTTCGCCCTTCGGCTTGGCAGAAAGTATTCTCGCGGACATTCTCTTCGCCCCTCGGCTTGGCAGAAACTCTTGCTTTTCATCTTTTTGGCTCTCTGGTTTCTGGAAGATGATGGAGACATGGCTCTCGATTATGCAGGAGACATGGCTCTTGAGAGATTATGGGGGACTCGTTGGACATGGGCGTTCGTTGTGTGGCTGTGAGTGTGGTTATGTGTGGTTATGTGTGGTTATGTGTGGTTATGTGTGGTTATGTGTGGTTATGTGTGGCTGTGAGTGTGGAGAGGAGTGTTTATTTATTTGTGTAGGCTTTGTGTGTGTGAGTGTGGTTATGTGTGTTAAGTCTTTGTGTCTTTTTAGCTTTCTGTTTGTGGGTCTCTGGGGCTTTTGCAGGGGCGGTTGATGGGTGTGTGGCATCCTTCTGTGTGATTGTGTGTATGGGAGTGGCTTTTGTGATGTATGTGGCGTGGTTGTGACTTTCTCTCCTCTTGGGTTGAGGGAGATTGTCGCGGACATTCTTTCTCCCCTCGGCTTAGCAGAAACTCTCGGCTTTCATCTTTTCGCCTCTCCGCTCT